TTAGCACACTGATGGCTGTTTACTGTTCACAGAGGGCTGAGTGATACTAGCAATCACAGTATTGTAAGAGGGGGACAGTTGAACCCGGAGGCCTCCACCCCTGTTTAATGATGGACGATTTCTTTTCACAAAGATGCCTAAGCCTCCTTTACTCCTCTCTCAAACCATCGTTCCTCTCTGTCCAGGATGTGAACATCTTCATTCTTGAAAGAGTGACCGCTGGCCTGGAGATGAGTGTAGACCACAGAGTCCTGGCCTGATGATGTTGATCTTCTGTGCTGGGCCATCTTTTTGGCCAGTGGCTGTTTAGTTTCCCTGATGTAAGACTGATCACAGCCCTCCTGACACTGAACAGCATACACAATATTACTCTGTTTGTGCCAGAGGACTGGATCTTTGGGATGAACCAGTCTTTGCCGTAATGTATTTTGGGGTTTAAAAGCCACTGGGACGTTATGTTTAGAAAAAAAAGTCTCAGTTTTTCTGGTACTCCCTCAACATATGGAATGACCACTGGTCTGGGTCTGGGTCTGGGCGCTATCAAAAGTAACTCCCAGATTTCTGACATTGGAGTGGCTGTATGAAGCCAAGGGGACAAGCACATTAATGGTATTACATTTACATAAACTGATGACTTGCGTTTTATTTTCATTTAGATTCAGAAAATTTAGTTTTAACCAGACTTTAACGTCGTTTAGACAGTTCAAGAGTGGATCCAGTGAAGTGACCCTGTCTGACTCAATCTGAAGATATAACTGAGTATCATCAGCAAAGCAGTGAAAAGGGATGTTGTGTTTTCTAAAAGTGGATCCCAAAGGCAACATGTAAAGATTAAAAAGCAATGGACCTAAAATAGACGCTTGAGGGACCCCACAGATCAGAGGAGCTGGAGATGAAGAACATTTCCCTAAATGAACAGAAAAACTCCTGTCAGTCAGGTAGGATCTAAACCAGGATAAAACTGTGCCTTTGATTCCAGTCGTGACACCAAGATGTTGTGGTCCACAGTATCAAAGGTAGCAGAAAGGTCTAAAAGCACTAAAACAGCAGAGCTTCCTGCATCAACAGTAAAAAGAAGGTAATTAAAAACTCTTGGGCTGTATCTGTGCTGTGGCCTGATTTAAAACCTGACTGGAATTTTTCACCAATGCTGTTGGCAGTTAAAAACCTCTTAAGTTGATTAAAAACAACTTTCTCCAAAATTTTCAACAGAAAAGGCAGTTTAGAAATAGGTCTATAATTTACGAGTAGTGTTAGGTCGAGGTTTTTCTTCTTTATGAGTGACTGCACCACAGCATGTTTAAAAGTAGCTGGAACACAACCTGATGACAGGGACATGCTAATTAGGACAAGAACTAATGGACCAAGAGTGTTAAAAACTTCTTTAAACAGGTGAGAAGGAACACGGTCCAGAGGTGAATTAGAAGGCTGCATGTGGTCCACGATGTCCTTTAAAACAACTAAAGTCACCGGCTCAAACTGTTCAAAGGAGGCTGCGGATGGAGGAAGTGAGGAGGGGTCTGTGTAAAGTTGTGTTGAGGAGGGTCTCAGAGCAGAGATTTTATCTATAAAAAAACTTAGAAAACTGTTCACACAGTGCAGGAGATTCAGCAACATGACCAGCATCACAAGGATTCACAACAGAGTTAAAAACATTAAAAAGAATCCGAGGTCTGTGACTGTTGTTTGAAACTACGTTAGATAAAACAGCAGTCTTAGCAGCTTTAACAGCTCTCTGATAATTTGACAAGCTGTCTTTAAAGATGTCCAGGGAAACCTGCAGTCTGTCTTTACTCCATTTCCTTTCTGCTCGTCTGCACTGGCGTCTGAGCGCGCGGGTGGATTCGCACAGCCACGGCTGACATGACTTCCTCTTTTTGGTTTTTAGAGGAGCAACAGAGTTAAACTAAAAACTAAAAAGATCAGTAAGCTCGTCCACGTTGGACACAGAGCAGAACTGAGGGTTGCAGGAGACAGAGTCAAAAAAGCCAGCGGAGAAGCGCAGCGCGGTGTTTGAATTAATTGCGCGTGCAGAACGCACAGATGGTCCAGCCTATTCCTTCCTGCCAGAGACCACCGCAGTGAACAGAACCGGTAGATGGTCTGATAAAAGAGCTCCACAGATTTCCACAGATGACACATTTATCCCGTAAGACAGGACCAGATCCAGTGTGTGTCCTTTTTCATGAGTTGCATCTGTGACAGACTGTGTGAGATTAAAAGAGTCAATGATGTTCAGAAAATCTCTGACCAGAGGACCAGCCTCACAGCACACGTGCAAATTAACATCGCCAATTATTAAAAAGCTGTCGTATCGTAGCACAAGTCCCGTCATAAAATCAGTAAAATCTTTAATAAAATCTTTGCTGTGTTTCGGTGGCCGGTAGATTGTAGCGCAGAGTAAAAGAGGAGAGAAGTTTATCTCCACCATCTGAAGTTCAAAACTCTGGAAAAAATGAGTGGGGATCAGCCGACATTTAAAACTGGATTTAAAAACAGAGGCTAATCCACCTCCTTTACCGGTGGTCCGAGGAGAGCTAAAGAAAGCGCAGTCAGGAGGGAGAAGTTCAGAAAAAGGAGCCGATTCACCAACATGAAGCCAAGTTTCTGTCAAGAACATAAAATCCAGTTTTTTGGAGGTAAAAAAGTCATTCAGAATAAAAGTCTTGTTGGTTAGGGACCTTGTATTCAGCAAGGCTACTCGGAGAGTCTGATCCTTGCTGTCCGCAGCAGGTGCTCGGGCCAGCTGGCCAAGATTTTTCAAGTTTATTGTGCCATGTTTGGAAATCCTTTCCCGTCGCCAGTATGAAGGCTCATGTTCCAAATGAAGGGATGGAGTCACAGATTTAATCCAACGATGTCTCCATTCATACAGATAGTTGCTTGTATGATAGTGAGAGAGACCAGAATTGTTGCCAGATAAGTTCAGATATGCTTTAATTCTCACCAAAAATCCTCCTCGTTTTCCGCATCTCCTTGGGCGTCTCCGAGGTTGAAAGGCACAGGGCGCAGATAGTCCGGTATGTTTGACAGGTGAGGAGGTAGTTGTGATGAATCATTACTAAAACCAGATAGTGGCAACTTAACATGTCGGAGGCTGAGAAGAGTTGTGCGGGCAAAGACGAGCAGAGCAGAGGCATCATAACAAAAAATACTAAAAAGCAAACAAGCAACAAAAAACAAGCAATGCATACGTGGCAAGCGGCTGGCCGTAGCTGGCGCCATCTTAACGTGACCTGCTGCAAACAGGCAGACATTTCGATTCAACGTGCAAGGTAGGTGAAGCGGACATTTCGATTCAACGTGCAAGGTACATGAAGCGGACATTTTGATTCAAAATGCAAGGTAGGTGAAGCAGCCATTTCGATTCAACATGCAAGGTAGGTTAAGTGGCCATTTCGATTCAACGTGCAAGGTAGGTTAAGCGGCCATTTCGATTCAACATGCAAAATAGGTGAAGCTGCCATTTTGATTAAACATGCAAGGTAGGTGAAGCGGCCATTTCGATTCAACATGCAAGTTAGGTGAAAAGGTCATTTCGATTCAACATGCAAGGTAAAGTGAAGTGGCCATTTCAATTCAACATGCAAGGTAGGTGAAGCGGCCATTTCGATTCAACATGCAAGGTAGGTGAAGTTGCCATTTCGATTCAACAGGCAAGGTAGGTGAAGCGGACATTTTGATTCAACAGGCAAGGTAGGTGAAGCTGCCATTTTGATTCAACATGCAAGGTAGGTGAAGCTGCCATTTTGATTCAACATGTAAGTTAGGTGAAGCGGCCATTTCGATTCAACATGCAAGTTAGGTGAAGTGGCCATTTTGATTCAACATGCATGTTAGGTGAAACAGCCATTTTGATTCAACATACAAGTTATGTGAAGCAGACATTTCGATTCAATATGCAAGTTAGGTGAAGCGGACATTTTGATTCAACATGCAAATTAGCTGAAGCGGACATTTCGATTCAACATGCAAGTTAGGTGAAGCAGCCATTTTGATTCAACATGCAAGTTAGCTGAAGCAGCCATTTTGATTCAACATGCAAGTTAGGTGGAGTAGCTTTTGGAAATCAAAATTCCAAGATGGCCAATAAAGCAAAAATGGAAAAAAACTATAAATCGGTCAATTTTAGTGATGTTGATGTGTGCTGGTGTGATGATAACTGAGAATGTTTCCTATCAAATGCTGTATCAAAATCAAAAATCCAAGATGGCCACCAATGCTTCTTTTAAATGGCTTTAACTCAGCCATTTTTATACATAGAGAGCAGAAATTTGGTGAGGTTGTAGCTGAGGACTTTCTCTATCACATATTAAATCCAAATCAAAACTAAACGTGGGCCACCTTAGCTAAAAGAGAAAAAATAACATAACTCTGCCATTTTTAGACCTATTCAATTCAATTCAATTCAGTTTATTTATATAGAGCCAAATCACAACAAAGGTTGTCTCAGGGCACTTTACAAGAACATTCACATACATAGAAGCCAATTAGTAAAGTTCTCTATCTAAGGAATCCAGCAGACAAGTTGAATCTTTGCTTTGTTGCAGTCTCCCATCCTGAGCAAGCACAGTGGCAACAGTGGAAAGAAAAACTCCCTTTTAAAAGGAAGAAACCTCCAGCAGAACCAGGCTCAGGACAAGCGGCCATCTGCTTTGACCGGCTGGTTGAGAGGACAGGAAGGATAGACAGACGAACATAGAATGATAGGTCCAGATATAGGTCCAGGTGTATCTGAAAGACAAAAAAAAAAAAACCACATGTTAAGGATAGAAAAAATAATTACAAATACAAAACAGTTTGAGCAGAGTAAGTAAAGTCAGTAGCAGAGTGAAAAGTGTGGTCAGTTTGTCCTCCAGCAGTCTAAGCCTATAGCAGCATAACTAAGGGTGCATTCACACTAGCCCTGTTTAGTCTGCAGTAATCGAACTCTAGCTCGTTTTCCTAGAAAGTCCGGTTCGGTTAGGGAGGTGTGAATGCACCATTGAACTCTGTCACGGAACAAAAAGGCAAACTCTGGCCCGGGCTAAAATCTAGGTCTCGGTCCGGTAGAAGAGAACTCCAGCGCGGTTCGAGTACAGTATGAATGTAATCAGACCGGGCCTCCTCGCTCCGCAGGACAAACAAACATGCATTTCTCTGACCTTATATGGATCTGTCAACTGCCTTGTGTGAAAATCAATATTCTCCATGGTCTTCTGCCTCATCTTCTGCTCATGCTAAGTCCATTTTTGAAAAATGACAAAATATAACTCCTAAAACTGCTAAAACTTGATGCCACTTCGTTTTTGTTTTTATTTAAAGAAGAAGAAGACGTGTCTTCAGAGGTTTTTGTGTTGTTTCTTTCAGTAGTTCTTGGTGCATCGCCCCCACAGGCGAGCGGGGGAATAGGTTGGTTCAACAGGTTGACTCGACTGCACAGTGCAGTGTGAATGCAAACGCACCAGCTCAAATGTAAACAAAAGGTCATGAATATTGGTCCCCAACCGAACAGAGTCTATCGGATTATCTGGTGTGAAAACAATCTAAGGGACAGCTCAGGAAACCCAAGCCGACCCTAACTATAGGATTTAGTGGGAGAGGTCATATTTCTCCAGTTTTAGCTTCTCTCCAGTGGCTCCCTGTCAAATCCAGAATAGAATTCAAAATCTTACTTCTAACCTACAAAGCCCTCAACAATCTGGCTCCATCTTATATTACAGATCTTATTGTTCCATATTTTCCTAACAGAGCACTTCACTCTCAGACTGCAGGTTTACTTGTGGTTCCTAGAATTTACAAAAACAGAATGGGAGGCAGATTTTTCAGTTATCAGGCTCCTGTCTTGTGAAACCAACTTCCAATCTCTGTCTGTGAGGCTGACACATTATCCAGTTTTAAAACTAGGCTTAAGACTTTCCTTTTTGCTAAATCCTATAGTTAAGACTCTGGC